TGTCCCTCTTTACCAATCTGAAAATCTGATCACCTTAGTCTATGGAGATTCTCAGTCATTCAGGTCATGGCTGTCCCAAAGGTGTTTTTTCAAGAGGCACCTGGACTTTCTGGTTTTTTCTTTGAAGATGTTGCGCTTCTCACCCAAGACGCTCCAGAGCTGAAGAAGCTTCTTGCATGAGAAGCGAAACATCTTCAAAGAAAGAGGGGGAAAAAGTCCAGTTGCCTCTTGAGAAAAAAAAAGGCACCTTTGGTCCAATGCCCAGAGGGGGCAGCCGAGAGCAGCGATCGAAGAAAGGAAGCCGTGGCAGACGGACGCTATCTGTTTCTAACCGCACCACGGCGGAAATGCTCGTGCTTGGCTTATGCTTCCGGGTCAAGGGGGAAATGTTTGGCCAGTCTACTACCCACGTGGGAAGAACTGGCGTGGATTTATCGTTAGCGGGAAGGATCGGAGATGTGCGCCGGCGGTTGATCGCGCATTTGGTAGATCCTAGATCCCCAGCTTCACACGTCTTCATACTTCCGGAACTGCTGCTTGGACTGGCAGCGGATTCACCCCCACCGTCTCTGCCTAGAGGTGGGCACACCAGGTAGATCTTTAATGCGCGATCCCTGAGAGAGTGGAAGCTGCATGGATTTAGGATTGCGCTGCGCGGGCTCCCTGCAAAGGATAGGCGTCAGATTTCCCGGTCTTTCTACAGAGACTGTCGGGTGGCTGAAAGATGAGGATTGGAGACTTGTCTGATTTCCACGAGGGACTGAGCTGAGTTTTGAATTTTGAACATAAGAGCGTGTTCTCGCTTCCTTGAATTGTGGTAGAGTGCTTGCATATTACCCTACTATACAATCTAGTGAGTATAGATTGATACATTTTGGTATGCCCCATGTGACACGTTTGATGGTGGCTTAAGGTGGGCTGTGCTGTAGCGTGTCCATTGGTCTGGTTTGGTATTACGAATCAAGACAATTGGTTCATGTTGGGCAAATCATGCATAAGGCAATATGATGTAGGGCTGCCTTTCATTAGTATAGCCTTTACTATCATTGTACATCATGTATACAACAAAATTGGTTAGTAACCAAACATTGAATAAATTATGTCCATGGCTTTATTGCTACTCAAGTGGTATAAAAATTGCAGGTAAGTTGTTTTGGTAGATAATTCATCACGCTGGTGTTCTCTTTAGTGGTCACTTATGTTTCCCATCACCCTTCTCTATCACAGCATTGGCTAGATATGATAAAAGTTTAAGACATCTTGAAGGGGCATCTGGTTAGGAAGATTGATTTAATACTTGTTGCATCTGTGGAATATTTTAATTGTTATTTTTTTTCCTCCACAGGAGTGTGAAACAATGACATCCCTTGCGCATCAGCTGAAGCGCCTTGCGCTTCCTCAGAATGATCCCAGCCTCTTATCTAGAAGTGAAGCGGCTTCATTGCTCTTTGATTGTAAAGAAGCTGCCAGTATTGACAGAGAGACTTTTTTTGCAATAGGTAAGTGTGGCTTTAAAAACATGGCCAACTACAAGGATGATCTTGGTTGCCCAGCACTCTGTAAATTTGCCACTGATGCTTCCTTTCCCTGGCTGAAATAGTTAAAAGAAAAATAAATGATGCTGTTTTTGAATGTTTTAAAAATAGTGTAAAATCACAGATTATTCTTTCTTTATGGTTAAATCAAGCACACACATATAGTTACCAGGAATAAATAAATCATATGCACGCATATACACACCATGTACATGCTTGTCTTGATGAAAGCATTTGTGGACTTTTGATAAAATTATTCATAAATTTCCTTTAAAGAAGAGTGAGACAAATTATGCCTTGAATTTCAAGCATTTTCCATTGTCATGATTAGAAGATTAAGTGGGGTTCTTTAAATTTAATCTTGTTTATAATCCAAACAACGTAACAATATTAAAGAAATTACATTCTCATGGATTATTATTATTCTGCTACCCACAGAAGAAAAATAGAACGGTTACAATAGCTTATGTTATTAATGTAAGTAAGTATGTGCAACATCCATTATACTCTTAATACTATCACTAATGTAAATCTTTTTTTTCTGTGTAATTAGTTACTGTTAATTTTTGTCTAATTAGTTACTTAAGTCCTGCCAAGCATGCTTCATATATCTGAAGAGTATATTCAATAATATTGTATTCTGTAAATAGTTCATAATAAATTTGTGGTCTACAAATGATTGAAAAATGCTTGGTTTTCAGAGAAGATGAGTAACATGTAGTAAGTTTAATAAATGAGTTAATGTTTAATGTATGAGCTAAACATAGGTAAGTTCTTCGTAAATTTAAATTATTAAATTATTATAATAGTAGTTTGGATAGCTCTAATGGTTCTGTGTTTTGATAATTAAAATAGGAACTGATTTGTAAGCTTGGTTATGTCAGCCTTCTTTAAGTTTATGCGTTAGAATTACTGTTTGTCATCCACACAACTTCATTTTCAAGAAAGTCAGAATAAAAAAAAAATTATATTGTCTGCACTACCTTTAAAAAACCCCTCTATTAATTGATAAAACTATTTCTGACAACTTTCACAGGGTGCACTGGCTTGGAAGAGCTGATTGGGATTGACCCGTCCTTTCAGATATTTGAGACAACACTTTTCAGTCAAATATCTAAAGGTTTGGAACGCAGTGTCCAAACTAAAGCAATAAACCAGCAACTCGATGAAAATATTTCATTGTTCCTGATTCACTTGTCTCCATATTTCATGCTTAAGCCTGCACAGAAATGTCTTGAGTGGCTGATTCACAGGTAATTCATTCATACGTCTCTGATATCTTACTGCTTGTTGTGTGGATGTCCTTAGATTCAAGCCCCTCCAAGCATTCTTAGGATGTGTTACTTTATTAAATAATATTTGGAAGCACTGTACACAACTATTGTATATGGCACAGTTTTGGATTTAGTAATATTTCATCATGAAGGATAGTTAAGAATAGTATTTCCTTTCTCTATCAAACCAAACTGGTTCCAATGTATTTTTCTCTTTCTCGTGTTTTTCTTTTCTTTTCTAATCTTTCCCTTCCGTTTATTTAATTGAAATGTTCTTGCACATAATATACTCTGAATTTCTCACCAGTGACTACCTATCTTCCTAGTTTTAATTCTCACAGGACAAGTGGTGTCTCCTCCACTCACCAACTTTTCTCACTTCAAAAGATCAGCCAGAGCTCCAAAACTATTTTAAAGAGAAAAAGCAAAGATGAAAGTTTAGCAGTTTGGTACAGGTAGTCCTGTACTGAAATTACAACCATAATTGAGCCCAAAATTTATGTTGCTGAGAGCAAAAAGGGTTGTTAAGAGAGTTGTGACACATTTTACGTCTTGCCACATTTATTAAGTGAATTGCTGCAGTTGTTAAATTGATAACAAGGTTGTTAAGTGAATCTGGTTTCCCCATTGGCTTTGCTTGTCAGAAGATCACAAAAGGTGATCATATGACCCCAGGACACTGCAATTGTCATAAATGTGAGTCAGTTCTCAAGCATCTGAATATAAATCATGTGATCATGTGACCATAGGAATGCTGCAATGATCAAAAGTGTAATTGGTCATAAGTCATTTTTTTTCAATGCTGTTGTAACTTGAACAGTCTCTAAGCAAAGTATTGTAAGTTGAGAACTGCCTGCATCATAGATTGTATCATATTACGCCCATAATTATCTGAAATGATAACTTCTTTATCTAATTCTCTGTATGTTCTGATTGTAGGTTTCATATTCATCTGTACAATCAAGACAGTTTGATTGGCTGTGTGTTGCCTTACCATGCAACAAAGCTGTTTGTGCGAGTTATCCAACTTTTAAAAATTAGCGACCCAACTCATAAATGGCACTGGTTGCATCCAATTCAGGTAAAGTAGTGGAAGATAATATAAGTCATCTGTATAATGCTGTCTATATCGCACAGAGTATTTCTGTGAAGCATTATTATTTGTGTATCTACCCTCTTTTCTGTATTTATTTTACTTAAATGCAAGGTATACTAGAACAAATCAATAAATTTAAAACCCATTGATTTGGATTATTCTTACAGTTTTTTGTTTTTCCTGATTTATTTTCTGCTTTATAACATCTTTTATGATTGTTAACTAGTCAATCAATAGTTTTAAAGTCAATAAAAAACATTTCAACTTTCTTGTGTTTCTAATTTGTGACTGAATTACTTATTAGTAATCATTACTGCATTTTAGCAGATTATAGCAGCATATATGCTGATACATACATGCTCTCTTTAAAATAAAATTTTATGGTAGTTATTTGAGATGAGTTACAATGAATATGTGAGCCACCCAGAGAGACCCAGTGATTGAATATGGCATGTGGAAAAAATAGCATTGGTTTTGAAAATATATGTGCTTAAATTAACTTTGAAGTTTTAAACTAAATACCACAAACTGGTTTTATCTCTGTTTTTAACATTGATTATCTAGTTCAGTTTAACAACTTCAATATATGGGGACTCCTAGAATTGTTCAACCAGCAGGCTGACTGGGGAATTCTGGAATTTGAAGGCTGCACATCTTAAGTTGCTGAGGTTGAAGAACATCTATCTATTTATCTTTTCTCTTTTGGGCTCGCTCTCTCTCTCTCTCTCTCTCTCTCTCTCTCTCTATCTATCTATCTATCTCTATCTCTCCCACAGAAACCAGGAGTCCCTCTTGCACGAGGAACTTTGATTACACACTGCCACAAAAATTTGGGTTTCATGGATTTCCTATGCAACTTAGTGACTAAATCTGTAAAGGTTGGTGAACGGTTCCTATGCATGGTTGGTGTGATAACCTGCTTCTCCCTCCCTCCCTCCCCACCCCTCAACCTTTAGTTAAATAGTTGAATACTAAAAATAAAAATAAATTAGGACACAGAAATTGATTGAATGCAATAGAAATTATTGCAACTAAGTTAATGTACTAAACAAAGCTATCCTGAAAATTATTAAACTGTCCAACTACAGATATGTTTAGCCACGCCAGCATGATTCCCCCCCCCCATGAGGTTATTTCTCTTTTGAATTCCTAACTTTAAATACAGAAATAACATTCTTTTATCAAACATGCAGTAATATTGCCTGTATGTATTCGTATTTCATTGGGCGCAGTTCTGTACTCCCCCCCCCCCAAATGAAAAGCCTCACATATCACCTTGTACTTCTTATGGGAGCTATATACTACTTATCTCCCTTACCCATGTGATTGTTCATTAGATTTTTATCCTGCCTGTATAGGAGCACAAGGTGGCATTCATAGTGTATTCTCCTCCATTGCCCCATAGCAGTACCCTTTTTTTGGTAGATTGGCTGACAGATAATGCCTGGCCCAAGTCACCTAATGAACTTTCCCAGCTAAGGTAGACTATAACTTGCATTTTTGTTCACCATTGTTCAACATTCACAATCATGTTCACCATTACACCACACTGGTGGAAGAACTCAAAGTGGGAATAGATAAAACATATTGTATTTATAAAAATGTGTGGTTTGATCGACCTTCCTTCCTGCCCCTCCCTCCCTTCCTTCTATCCCTCCTTCCCTTCCTATTATTTACACTATCCTTATCCCAAATGTATTTTTTTCTTTCCTCCAGGTCTTTTCACAATACCCAGAGAGTTCATCAGAGATGAGAGTCCTGCTGACTTTTTATGCTTCTACAGTTGTATCTGCTCTTGGGGCTGTAGCAAATGTCACAGACATTCTTGTCTCCAGATTGCTTCCATATATCCAAAAGGTACCTGATCACTCAGCTGTCATTATACATTCTGCTTATAAGTTAAATAAAGTAAGACAATGCAATCAAGGTGTATTTCCCAATTTTGAACAGTTTAGCTACTCTCCTAGTCTATCCTAATTTGGCCTTTTGAACTATACCCAAGAGATTTTCAATAACGAATAAAGCAACAATAGATGTATTTCTGAAAATCCTGGGCCTTCCCCATTATCTAGTGCTATTTGTGTAGATCTAAATCAGGGGTATCAAACTCACGTTGTCAAGGCAGCATCACATGTCGTATTGGGACTTTTTTCCCTTTCACTAAACCAGGTATGGGTGTGGCCAGCATGTGACTCATCCAGGCCATAGGCCGGGAGTTTGACATCCCTGATCTAAACCTTTTATGACATGCTGTGCTATATTCCTTTCAAAGCCCTCATACTTAAATCATCAAATATATTTTTACTCCTTTTCCTTACTACAGGGTTTGAAATCATCCTTGGTGGACTTCAGAGCTGCAACGTATATGATCATATGTCAGTTAACTGTGAGGGTGACAATGGAACAATCACTGGTTCGTTCCTTGATGTTGCTGATTAGTAAGACTTTGACCAAAACACACTCTCTTGTCAAAGACGGGCTTTGCTGCTTGATAGTTCTTCTACAGAGCCAGAAGGAAGAAGGACTTGGGAAAAAGTAAGGAAAATAAATGTGGGGGGGGGGGTTGAGGGAGGGTTGCATGTGTTTTTCTGTCATCAGCAAGTGAAGTGTTTTTTTAAAAAAAAATTCTATTTGGTGCAATTAGTTTGTTTTTCTGTGCTTGTATTTGCTTAAAACGCAATTGGTTTTTTCTATTAATGGGGTTTACAGATAAAATCAAAAGGTAAATTATGGATACATTTGAGGCTTAGCACTAAGGATATTTAATACAAAATTCAGCTTTTGATGTTCTTAACATGTATTTCATTATTGAACTTGTGGAAGCACTTTCACCTGTTATTTGTAAAGTTTATTCTAGAAACTCTTAAGGCATCTTGGGGTATTTGTGGAAGGATTCATTCCTTAACATCAGGGGTCTCCAACCTTAGCCACTTTAAGACTCAGCCGCTGCTGAGGAATTCTGGGAGTTGAAGTCCACAAGTCTTAAAGTGGCCAAGGTTGGAGACCCCTGCTTAACATCATTTCTTTTAAGAAACTCACAGCCAGCTTTGCTGTTTGGGAGGTCCTGTTAACTACTTTTACTGTGTTTTTTATGCAGGCCATATGTTCATCTGTGTAATGTACCCAATCTGATTGCCATTCTTCATGAAATCTCAGCAGTTCACGATGTCAGTCCAATTTTACATTATCTGCTGCCCCATCTAGTTCATTCAGCTATTTATGGAAAAGCAGGTATATTCATCTGTGCTCCATCTTTTCACTTATGCATCTCTTCCTTATATACATAAAGCATATAAAATCCTGCATGACACGGAGAAGGAAGAGAAAAGGGCATTTTTCTCCATTTCTCAAAATACTGAAGACTGAAACTCAATGGAAGATTTAATATAAGCAGAAGTCTGTAGATAATTAACTTCAGGAATTTATTGCCATAGATGGTAATACAATGATGGCCACGAACTCAGATGGCTTTTTAAAAAATGGATAAATTCACAGAGGACAGGCTGGTCAAGGGCTACTTGTTTTGTAGATTCAGTGTTAATTACAAGTGGAAGAGTGCATCTTCAAAATATGAACTGCAGTTAAATGAGATGGTGTTAATGATAGGTCTCTGACTCCTGCTGATAAAAATTCCAGAGCTATCTGACTGGTAATTCTGGAATACAAAATGTTGGATGAGCCTTGGCTTGGTCCAACAGGACTATTGTTGGGTTCTGCTAATGAGATTTTACTATTCCTTTTAAAAGCATGATTCTTTGAAAAGGTAAGAACAAAGTAAGGGGCATGTTAGCTTTATATCATCCAACCTCAGATAACAGGAAAGAAAGAGTTACATTCTGCTATAATAAATGGGGTAAGGTTGAATCAGAAAGATTCAGTGGCAGTCATTATTTTCTTTATGGCGTCTACTTGTTTTCAGAGATGGAAGAAGGATCCAACACAATTGATAATCAAATCTACATTAAACATCTAGAAACTATACTTACAACTATACCGCTGGAAAAAGATTTGGATCATTTATTGGCTTGGTAAGCTACAGTCTTAATCTATGGTTTCATATCCCTGGTTTTCATGTCACAATTTAATTTGTCAGATATTAATTTTTCATATTCTTTGAAAAAGTTGTGAAAAACAATATTAGTTCTATGTAAAGAAATAATTGTTTCCCTTTTTTCCAATTTCAGTAAGTTTCTGGAGGATTATATTTCCTATGGTGTAAAGAATGGTTCTGAAATTAATAAAGCTGAAATTAATAAAGAAGTACTTCCTCTAATCAGACTTTTTGAAAGAAAGTAAGTAAAACAAAATAAAACAGACATATGTATTTGATAAAGTCATAACATTGGTACTAGAATTAATGTGTGACTTTTTAATCTAGAAGTATAAATCTGTACTGTTTAGATTTTATTCCACACTCTTACTGGGGATGGAAATAAAGTATTTATACAAAGACTATATAGATCAAAATTAACCTTTATTAAAGAAGATAATATTAAAAGAGATCAAAATAGAGGTGAAGCCAACCAATTAATGCTTTATTCCCAAGTCATTTCAGGCCTGTCCAGATGATACATACCGCTGCTTCAGCTTTCTTGGGTAAAACAGATTTTGCTCCATTGTGAAGAATGAACAGAATCTAGAAATAGAAAGTCAAATCTAGTCTGACCTCTCCAGCAAGTCTGTCACCACTTTGATCCCTGAGAGCAAAGCCAAAGTCACATTGATTTCTCAGCGATTGTTTTAAAAAAATAATCTGCATGGTTTTTAATATTTTAATATGTTTTTCCTATTTCTTTTATAACATGTAAACTTCCCAAAGTCACCTTATAGGAAAGGTGGGTATCATAAAAATTTAATACATAAAATAAATAAAATTTCTCAGCTCCTCAGATCACCCCATCAAGCCTCAACCAACCTCAGCTGTTACGCTGATCAAGGCCGATTAAAATAAAATAAAACTTCAGGGCAAGATGCAAGATAGTACTTTAGTCAAGTTGCCCAGGGGAATATGAAACACTTGACACAACTCAAAACCATAGCATTCTGTTCCACTTTCAAAGGAAATTTCAGTAGAATTCTTGCTCTGGTTTGAAGTATTTTTGCACATCCAAGTGATCCACCCATTTCAAAGCCAACTTCAGAGGTAAATCAAGGTAGGCTATGGAGTTTGAGTTTCAGTCATCTTATTCAGGAGGGTAAAAAAATTACATTTGAGGCTTCTATTTACATTGTGAGCTACCTCACACCAATTTCAGTACTAGTCAGATGAAGGAACACATATAGAATGTTACTCTGCTGCTGAAAACCAGGTTCAGAACTATTGTATCCAGACTTCCATGTAAGGGTCCAATTATGGAACATAATATTTGGCCTATCTTTTTGCCTTTTTAGTGGATTATTGTTTAATTTATGGTTTCCTTCTTAATGTCACCCAAATTCTCAGAAACTGGGCTATGTAAATAAACATATAAACAAATGAACAATACAATGAGAATTAGAAGGTAGGCTCAAATCCCTTATATTTTTCTTGAATTCATACAGCTTCTCATTTTTTATTTATTTAAAAATAAATCAATATCCTGATAGTAACTTCATAGTAACTTAACAACAAAAATTGAAAGAAATATTGCATACAAAATAGTTGAAAAAATTAAAACGCAAAATCAATATTAAAATACAAGAGGTGTCTTCTAGTAATAATTCCAAGTTAGCAAGTTAAAATTTATTTGGTACCAAACCATAACAATTATCAATAGCTTCACAGCTCTCCTAATCAGGAAGTTTTTAGAGCTTCAGAATTAGAGTATCACACAGACTTCTAAGACAGGGGTTCCCAACCCACCAGCCTATGGACCAGTACCTCTGTGTGGCATGCCAGAAAGCAGGCAGCACACAAAACCATGCTCCCTCCAGCCTGCAGAAAAACTTCTCTCCATGGAACTGGTCCCTGGTGCCCAAAAGGTTGGGAACCACTGATCTAAGGAATGAAGAAAGAAGGAACTGAATGTTGTGTTTTTTCCAGTTTCTATCAGGCACTTCTTTTTCTAGGTCAAACCTTTGCTTTTTGATCTCTTAAATCCATTTAACTCTCTTCACTGAGTTTGTTTTTATTAATAGTCTGAAAGCAGCTTTATCTTTCCTGAAATATGTAATGAAAGTTCCCTGAGAACAAAAATTAGCAGTTTGGAATTTTCAAGATTTCCAAAAATATTCTCAACGGCTTTCTCTGGCTGCTGAGAACTTCTACAAGAAAACCAACTTCTTGCACAGTGTTGGTAATCTTGTACCAAATATGTAATTGTTTATTTTTAATCCCATCTTTAGTCTTTTCACAAATGACTCAAGACATTTATTTATAAGTCTTAGGAATTTGTGTACACAAAATGTATTTATTCATCAAATTTATGTGGCCAGCCATCTCATGAAAAAGTGACTCTGGGTAGCACATACCAGACATAAAACAAGTCTTTGAAATAATATATAAAGAAGCATGCTTGGTTTTCCCAGAGTTCCATATGGATTCTTTTCTTTGCCTACCGCAGGTACTCTAGAACGCTAGATTTGGTACTGGAGAAATATCTGAAGAACATCAGAGATCAGAAGGAGCAAGATCTTTTCCACCAATTCATTTCTCTTTCAGTGAGCGGTGGTAAATACCAGGTAAGTCAATCCTAAGACTAATAATTAAGATTTCTTCTTTTTAATTTGTTGACACTTCGGCATTAACACCAGTTAGAGCATTTCCTAAAATAATTTAATCATGGACTTTTCTCTTAACGGTATTGACAAAAAAATGACCTTGTGATACATTTACTGCCATTCTTAACAGTTAGAACAACAGTTTGTTGTCGAGATGTGATAATGTGAACTTTTTTTAAAAAAAGTAATACCATCTAATCTGCATCCAATGGCTATAAAAAGACTGCTCTTAACGGCATATAAATCACTGATAGACAAAGTTACCGCCAAAATTTTATCAAGAATTGCCACACCTTCAAGTTGGCATGCTTGAATAAGTACTCTGTAATCTAGTATCAGGTTTCAGCATTTTAGCATATTTTCCCCTTTATGTATGAATTGGAAAAGAAAGTTTTAAAAAAACCAAAGCAATACATGGTCCATAAATCACCTTAAAATAGTTAAAACAACTTTTCCTGACATCTTTTGAAGTGATTAATTATAGTTCCTGATTCATTTAAGGGAAATTCTATTTAATGGCTTTATCCTGGCTTGTATGCAGCCCGACCCCATGTAAAGTGAAAGAGCATAATAAAGAATATAAACTGGCAGCAAATTATGGTACAGCTAAGCAGTGTACTTGCTATTTTCCCCCTGAAATATGTCTGTGTGTTGATATGTAGTTGCATGTTTATCTATAGAAAATGACTAAGAAATAAGCTCCCTGATCTTTCAGGGGAGCAGAAGTAGAACTGCAGCCTGATTGATTATACTTTGTATTCCTAGTTTCTAGAAGATTCAAATACCTCTCTGCTCCTTAGTTTGAATCATTCACAGCCAGCAGTGAGAGTCCTGGCTGTTCAACATTTGAAAGAAATAATTGAAACATCAAAGGTTGGTTGTCTTGTTTGGTTCTTAATTAAGGTGTTTTTTTCTGAACGTTTAATATGCTTTCTAATCAGAAGGCCTCTGTTACTAGCAGTGAGAAAAATAGGGATATTGGCAGCAGGGTTGCCCAAGTTGCATACGTTTTGAGGGCCACACCAGGTTTTGGAAGTCATATCAAGGACTGCACTTTGGTAAAGCCAAGTCATATTTTCAGATGTTTTTGTCAGATTTTTTAAAGAGTGAAATAGATACCTTTCAAAGCAAGTGTAAGATTTATAATTTTCATTTTGCCCCTATGCACTCTGGAGGAACTCTTGAAGCCATATATGGCCTCCAAGTTGTCGTTTTTGTATCTCTTCTTTATAGTAATCCAAAGCAAATTCTCAATCCTTTTCTGTCGAATCTAAACTGTACATTCCATTACATAGCTGTTTGTACAGCATTGTTAAATTTCCACTGACTTCATGTTGACTAAATAAAAGATGTGGCGAAGTTCTACCTAATGAACCCAAACAAATCAGAACTCTGAGACTGGAACCTTCCTCAAAGGACTTCTTTATTGGGTACATCATATTGGCATGATGAAATGTAAAACCAACTCTAAATATTCCCCACAATTTCAGTATAATTAAAATGATTCCCTCCCCAAATGTCACCAGTCACATTGTCTAATTAAGTTAATTGATGGGAATCTTAGGTACTCCCCCTCCTCCTTCATCTGACACCTGTGGAGATGACCTTGGTTCCCACAAGATATTTCTGTGTTGTGCCCTTTAAGACATTCAGGACTCTTCTCTACCCCCTGCACACTGTGTGCCAACTGAGAAATAAAAAAATAGCTTTGGATGGGTTTGGTTGACAAGATGATCTTTTATAAACTTGAACAATAATTAGAGTAGGTCACTACTACAAATGTGGTAATGTCAGAAAAACCTTTGTACTCATTTGTACTCTCCAGTTATTGTGCGCTGTATATAATGTATATCTACAAAAATAGAAATGGGAATCTAGGACAATTTTCAGCTGTCATGTATAAGAAGGATTGACATTACCTTATTTTATTTATTTTTATCCTGTCTTCATTATTTAAAAAAAAATAACTTGAGGTGGTGAACATACCTAATACTCCCTCCTCCTATTTTCCCCACAACAACAACCCTATGAGGTAGGTCAGGCTGTGGACAAGAGTGACTGACCCAAAGTCACCCAGCCGGCTTTCATGCTTAAGATCAAATTAAAACTCAAGGTCTCCTGGTTTCTAGCCTGATGTCTTAACCACTATACCAACTAGTTTATAAATGGTTCAGCCATAATTCTTATGATTCCCAGATTCATAACTTAATGCAATGGGTGGTGATGATGATGATTTAAATAGTTTTATATGTAAACAAGTTGGATTTTTCCCAGAGATGCTGAATTCATGATATTACATTTTTAATACCTTTTTAATGTTCATTTCCTTCATGATTTTTATTTTTAGGAGGGCTTTGATGACTCTTTCATACAAGAAGCAATTGTAGCACGACTCAAAGATGATAATTTAGATGTGGTTATGTCATCTCTACATACACTAGATGTAAGTGTTGATCCATTGGAAGGCCAAAAATAAGTGGTACTTTGAATGAATTTCTTCCAGAAGCTTCAGGGATAGCATTCCCTCCCATTTTATCCCTCTAAAAGTGAGATAGATTGACTGTGATAGTGTCCATTGAGTTTCCATTGCTGAATCTATGTCTAGTAATGTTGCAATATTTTGACTACTGCACCACCGTGACGGGACACCCATCCTAAAAAAGAATTACTAGGGTCTATCTATAATAAAATGATAGCATGTTAAAGCAGATTCCCTGCTTCTCTTCTCTGGCTGAAATTCTGTATTCTCTTACTTGGGAATAAATCCAATTGCAGTCAGAGGGAAATTGGATATGTAGAGTAGTGCTTTAAATTAGTACTGCCTGAGACAAAATCTGAGGAGAGAAAACTTGAAACCAACAGAACAGATAAGACATTTAACTTATTCTGGATAAGCAGGTTAGTTTCAATTTTACAGAGCTATAACTCTATCATCAAAGTAAGATTTTTCTAAGGGACAGAAAAATCCTTAAGGCACACAAAATCTAAAAGAGAAAGCAGAATCACTAAATCTGTTTTGATGCTAGATTCATTTATGTTATATTTTAAAAATACTTTATTTTTTTAAAATACACATATTGTGAACATTTTTGGATAGGATTCTGTATTACATTGATCTATGTGTTCTATGCAATTTTGTGCATACAATAACCACATTATTTCTTAAATTTTATTCTAGAGTGCCTTGGTTCATTTGAATATATTTAGTGAACAAATTGGACTCAGTCTATTGTCTCTGTTTGAAAGAGCTGATCTCTCAAAGGATAAAAAATGGTAAGTGATAATTTTTACATCTTTCTGTCTCAATTTTATATTTATACCGTATTTTTTGGAGTATAAGACCCACCGGAGTATAAGACTCACCTTAATTTTGGGGGAGGAAATCATGAATACTGTATATCTGCATTAATAAGTTCATTCATTAGATGTGCAGGAGATTTTGCAATGGTAAGCGGTTAGGTACATGATTCTTCCATATACTATGAACTGAGATTTGTGTTTTCGAGTAAAAGGTTGCCTAAAAAAATGCAAAACAAAATATGGTAATACATTGATTAAGAGATGCACTATTGAAAGAGGTAAGGTGGTACTAAACAATGGTGGTTCCCTTTGGCAGTTAATTTTAAACATCATGAAAGAACAAAAAGTTGGTAGTTACTATTGCTGTCTTTGTGATGCCAGGGAAGGAGAAATATGTTAGATATACTATTCTGGGTTCCAATTTTAATAACAAGCTCCATCAGAGAGGGGAACCTTCTCTCTTTTTTCTCAAGCAGCACCATGGGGTAATAGAAATACGTTCTGTTGTTACAAAAGGTACAATCAAAACATTTAAAGTGTGTTTTTTAAAGTGCAAATCAGTGGTTGGTTGCAGGCGATACGCCTCAGCACGGGCATACCGGAGCCTGCCCGGAACACCGGTACCGTTCCGGTACGGTGCTCTGGAGGGCCCACCCACCCGCCCAAGCTCCTTACCGATCTTTAAGTCTTCTGCGCTTCTGCGCACAGCATGTACAGCACCTGTGTGACGCTCCACTTAATAACGAGCGTCGCGGAGGTGCTAAGATGCATGCATGCACTGCACGTATCCATATGGACACCGCCTGGCCCATTCCAACAGTACCTGTTGGAATGGGATCCGGAATCCACCACTGGTGCAAATCTTGGTTATGGAGGTGTAAGCTAAACATATCCATTCCTCTTTCTTTGTACTTGCTAGGTGCAAAATCCTAGAAACAATACTATGCCTTTTAATGAAAGTAGATAATATTAAGGATAATAAAGATCTCTTCAATCAATTAGTCCTACATCTGCTACCTTTTCTGGTCATAACCAACAAAGATTTAGAATCTGCTGAAGGGAGAGTGGCAATTTGCATAACAGAGTCTGGTCTTTGTTCTCTTCATCCTTTGTTGAAAGGTTGGCCACAAGGTAAGTAATTGAATTCTTTCTGAAGCAGAGGTGGGGGACGATGGCACTTTTATGACTTGTGGACTTCAACTAATATTATGAGTAATATTATTGATATTCTTCAAAACTATATTTCCACGTTTTAGGCAACTTTTTAATACATAGTTATTCTATGGTATCATTTTTGTTGTGTATAAGTAAAAGGGTGCCCTCCATTTTTTTCACCATGAATGAATTTTAAAATCAAAGTGCATATTCTTTTGAAACCTTTCCCTCTCTGTAGCCATCAGTGGTTTCAAAAGGTTTAACCAATCTCCTGCTTTGTTTCCCGCTTCATTCTGTATTTATGTTTTTATCATCCTGAAATAGTTTTCCAAGAGGTGACTAAGTCATCTAAATCAGGAGACGTACTAGGTACATCTAACGCCAAACTGCTGGACCTCTTGTCCAAGAACCTGATTGCAGAAGATTCTTCCTTCATGTCAGAAATGGTATGTGTGGAGTTTACATGTCCTGCTTATAGAATTCTCAGATCACTGGGTTTAAAGATAGTTTGACATAAGTAACATAGCAATAAAACACAGCTCCTGTATGTGTTCTTTTACATCATGTTGGAGAATATTTCAAATGTTGACACCCCAATTTAATAAGAAATGTTGAATTTTCATATTTCATTGATGCAAAAGAACATGCAAAATGAGTACACATGACCAAACCTTGTATCAGCTGGTTTAGTACGTTCTTAAAGTAGCATCTCTGAGATACTCATAATCCAGCCAAGCTATAATCCTGCATCTCTAATGGAAAAGAAACTTGAAGAACTGAACAGGTTTCTCTGCAAAGCATATGCTCAGGTGATTTGAACCTCGCTGCCTTTTCCCCTGTAAGATGTTTGTGGAAGTCTTCTAAGCAGGCCATGGTACAATTACGGCAAATCTTCTCACCCATCTCCCCCCAACAACTGTTGTTGATTTCAACCATTTAATTATATAGTCTTGAGATGGAAGGGTAGAGAGGATTATTTTAAGCAAGTAGTTCATTTGTGCTGAAAACAAGCTCTCCTCTCTGAACATTTCCTTTTCAGATAAAGTTCTCTCTAAGGGAAGTGAGAAAAGGGGAAAAATATAGAGTGCTTTGTTAAACTTTTGGACTAGAGTTTTCCATAATGGGGAAATTGTTGTTGTTTTGTAGCAGAACACATTTCAAGATTAACTTTCAGATTCTTTGGTATCCCTAAAGAGACCCATGCTCAAAACATAAGAAAGGGGCTGTTTGCCAAAATAGAGAGTATTGAATTACATTATCCTACAATCTAACCTGGCAGACAACAGCTTTGCATACTGACCATGTAGTCTATATTTTCATATAGTGTATTTAAAAATAAAGACACAGAAAAGCAAAATGTTTGCAGAATGTTAGGCAGTTGTCAAAATAATCCATTTCTCAAAAGAATAATTCTCCTTGGAGGTGGAAGGTTTCATCAATCTTACTCTTGTGATTCTCCTTCAGGTGGAAGGTTTCATCAGTCTTATTGAAAAGGAATCTCTTACTGGAAAACAGAAGCTAACAGGCCACATTTTAAGTTTCGTCCTTGTCCAGTCGTGTTGTAGTTGCTCCCAAATGGGAGATCGTCATTTATTCCTGGCTTTAAGGATCTTCCATTTTTTGAGTAAAAAAATGGACAGATTTAAAGACAACTGCCCTTCAGAGGAGGTAAGAAATTTTAATTTTAATATTGCAGCTTCAGTCAGAAGCACCCTTTTGACCCATTCAACTCTAGATTTGTGTATATACTGAGTTCACTTCCGCTGATTTAGGAGAGAGATTGCATGATACAAGTAGGGAACCCTGGCTCCTGCAATTTTCAAAACATGTTAAAGAGATGAGATGAAGTTAAAGGTCAGAAGAACAATTATAGAAAGTAGATTGTAGTGACAATCATTAAAAAAAAAAAAAGCAAGGGTACAGTAAGACTGGTGAGCTTCCTATACGTAGCAATTTATGGAAGATTAGGGGAAGCAGATATCTAAGGGCCAGGAAAGGTATTTGGTCCTCATGTTCCTTGACAATGCAATAGGTCAGAATTCTTTTTCATTTTCAGAACATTTCTACTGAGTTCCCATATGGGAATGAATCTTTCTGGGACCTGTTATCGACATATGCAAACAAATTAAACATTCAGACCTCGGTTGATCTTGAAGATGCCATGCTGTTCATCATTTTGTTGAGAAGTTTTATTGAAGGCTTGGTCTCTCCAAATTCCTTTTTGAAAGGTATTTATTTTTTATTGCAGGAAAAGTGAGATTTGAAAAATTCACAATGTGGATGCTTTGCTTGTTTGAAGTAGTATTTGCTTATTTCTTGCAATTCTTAAACTTGATCCCAAAACTAATCAGTCTTTCTCAGTTTTAACCTGAAGAAAGCATTTGATCTGGTTTAGCTTAGTTTCAGAAAATGTTTTTGCTACAGTCCCTCATTGCCAATCTTTGCATTTCTACAGATGAGGTCTGGTGGAATCCTGAAATTTTAAATGCAGACAGTAAAGATTATTTGCACCTCCTATTGGGACTGTTTGACATTGTTGTCCGCGGAGCAAGTGAGGGGTTCTGTGCTGGTCATTTTCGGGCAATGATGCGACTTCTGTTTGAGGTACGTTTTTCATACATAAACATAAATACGTCCGACAAGAGGAAATTATTATCTTGATTTAGGCAATTGTGAATAGCTTGTTGAAATTTTACAATGAGATTGTATTATGGGGTCCATTGAAGTGAAATGTGGGTGTGTCTCTTTTCAAAGCCACCAAATAAAAGGTAAATGGGCTTTCCAAAACGTATGTATGAATTGTTTCCTTTTTATCGTTATCTGAAGGTACATTTGAAAGGACCAGAGCATCAATTTAGATTTCTCTCTGTTGTATGGACTTACAACTACAACTTGTGCAATCAGCTGAATTTTGTGATGGATGCTGTGCTGCAAACTCAGGCATTGTACATAGGATGTGTCATGCTCGAATCGCAACCCAAGCAGAAAAAAAGGCAATTGGTGTCAACTGCATCTCCAGGTACCTTGTGATGGCCTTTGTGATATTTCCCTCTAGTTATTGCAGCATTAATCAATTATGGGCTTTATAAGCTCTCCGGAGTAATTAGGGGGAAATTAGCATTAACTTCTTTCCTGTCTTTCCAGTTATCTACCCTTATAAGAAGTTTTGGATTATTTGGAATGAAGTTTACTTACATCTATTATTATATTGAATTGTGGAGGGTGGGAGGGAAGGAAGGACTATTTTCTCTTCAGGACTTTTGCATTCTATTTTCAGGTTATAATCAGACTTAAATAGAGGCTTTTAACCATCTTTTAACTTACAGACTCTTTGAAGTCTTTACTAACTATACTCACTTAACTCCAGAGATTGCTCATAAAAATAAATAACTGCACAGGTTTTTAATTTTGAGGCTTTTAGCTGTTTCAAAGGATTATAAAAGTTTGAATTAGAAAATAGAGAAGACCTTCTCAGTGGGCTCAGAATTTGCAAGCCTGAGAATCCAAATTCTTCTTGGTGGCTAGACAGAGTAGACAGATTGCTCCTCTCCAGTAAAACAATAAAGTTGTTTCTCGGGGTGGGAGTTTTCATTCTGCATAGTTAATAAATCTAAGTTTATTTGGAACTTGGTTAAAGTACCGTATTTTCACGACTATAAGCCGCACTGAAAATCCTAAAATTTGATCCAAAACCG